AACTACTTCAGCTGATACATGCTTCAATGATGGCAACCTCGCAACCTGCATCTTGTAACTCGCTAGGAGATACCAGTAGATCATCATGAGGGTGTATCGAGGGTTCACTTATTCTACTGACTCAGGGTCGCGTTACTGTGCTAGGAGGGTTCCAAGGAACCCTTATTACTGGTGTCGCACTGTACTCCTGATGCAGCAGAACGACTGATGATCCCACTGAAAAGGAGTATGCAAGGAGCCAGTTGCAGCTGGTCCACCAGCAGCATTCCACACTGGGGAACTACAGCCGATGACAGCACGGCGATTCACAGCAAAGGAACAATATCCAGCGGGGCCGTGTTGGGCATGCTAGGTTCCCATGATGCGCCTGCCAGCATTTGAACAAGAACTCTCCACCGGAGAACACCTTGACTCCTCACCAACTGTGTCTGCGCTGTCGATAGATGATGACAGGGACAGAGCGGCGGAAGGACCATGACCATGCCACATGAGCGGTTAGTTATATGATAATCTTGTCTTGTGTTCTTGCGAGTGTGCATAGCGCATGAGGATATCATGACCCGGCATCGAACGCATTCTGGGAATATTCATCTCTACTCTTCACTATCAACTAAACGATATTCGTTGTCGAAAGACACTGCTGCATGTAGATCAATCATGGGTGGAGGAGAGAATCCGAAGACATTCCCTCGATACACTCGAACTGTGGTATTTTTGGTTTTGTCTCCATTTCTCGCAACCATCTATTATCCAATCGTCTGTTGATACGTTGTGGCCTCTCATCTATACGGACACCATACTCCGGTGATGGAGTTACAGTGAGGCAATCGATGATATCCTCGGATCGATCTCTATCCGATTCCGGATACACAGCAGAGTCTGCCGTTCTGTCACTCAGGGCTATGGCCTCCAGCTCTTCTATTCGTCTATGAAGACTACAAGGGCTCACTGCAGAGGCCCTAGGGGGATAGTCTCCACTGGTGGCGACAGGGTATCGGGAATACCGATTGGCCGATCGAGAGCGAGTGGAGGTACGGGTGACGCTGAGGCGGGAGAGATGTGTGTGAACTTCACGTGATGAAGGGATACTACCAAGAGGTAGACGAGCATTTGCTTTTGTTGCTCGAATCACCATGAAGAGGAGAACCTAGATGCCGACTGGTGAGTGGCCGGAAGGTGCACTCTTGTAGATCCCTCCGGTGGAGTTGTTGTCGTAGGTGCTCTAAACGGCACTCCTTCTCCTGTATGTAGTGCCTCCCCCTATCGTACCTCGATAACAGCTTTATGATCAGCAATGATGCATGCGGAGATGCTTCGCGGCTCACAATGCAGTAGTGATGTGAGTCGTTCGTGACTCTGAAGTTCCCCGTGTTCCGTGATCCCGTCGCTTTTCACGAAGAGTCTCCATTCTGCGGGCTGAGAGCTCCTTCTGTTGCTCCATACGTGATAGAAAGCATCTGGCCACACCACAAAAGGCCTCAAATTCTATTAATGAGCGTACTACTGAATCCTATTATTGCGTTTCCTCCTATGTTCCACCGTGGCCGTATCTTTCTCCTCAAGTTTAACGGTTGGAGCATCCATATGTAAATATGATAGCCTGCCCACTGGCCGCATGGTGCCCATAGTATAGCGACATTCAAGGGGCCTCTCTATGCTCGAAGACCTCCGTCTATCACCGAGTACAGGCCGGCTGAGGAGCTCACTACGGTCCACCTTGCACCCATCACGTATAGTCGGCGCCCCTCTACTCGGAGGTCTTGGCTCTTGCATTGGGGTCGATCCCCTCCTATGTGGGGTCTGCGGAGTTCTTACAGGGGATGCGCTCGATATCACCGTCACGCGAGGTGTTCCCGAGGCGGATCCCGATGAAGTATCACATGACAGGCCTACTGCCTTCTCAAGGACACCCCGTCGTCCGCTATCAGAACATAGTTCGCTCTGAGGAGTGTGCACAGATGATGACACGGGATACGGTCCGCCACATCCCGATTCCTCATGCTTTAGTGCTTGGTCGTGTCTGAGAATGAATGGCTTAGATTGGTAATGAGTGAAGGATGCGCCTCAAGACACGCCTCCCTGTGGACCTCCCGTGGGATTACCGATTCTCCTTATCGGCTTTTTCCCCTGATCGTCGCTTCTGCGCCCTTTCCTCAGTTAACGATCGAGGCTGCCGATCATGTCTAACACTAGAGCCTGAATGGCTTCGTGACGCATTCGATTCGGCAAAGCCTCCGGATGAACTTGATGGGCACGGCCGGGAGACCATCGAGTGGCCAGTATAACTGGGTCGAAACCGCAGTGGCGGGCTAGGGATAGCCACCATCTGTCGCATGATGAACTACAGGGCACACCAGCGGACCTAGACCTGCACAATAGTAATCCTTTTCCATCCCGGTACCTTACAATGACCCAATATCCATCCATTGAAAACTTATGACACCCAACAACGGTGCTGCTATTGATGATGAAAAATGCGAAGGTTCCTGGCCTTAACGATCACCCATCCACAAGCAGTCAGTCATCTTTCCCTTCCTTCGCCGGGAGGAACTTAACCGGATTGCGATTGAATGCAGGCCACGATGGGAATGTTATCTAAATGAGG